GCTACTTTGTTAACATGCGTGTGTGTGTGTGTGTGTGTGTGTGTGTGTGTGTGTGTGTGTGTGTGTTGCATCCTGCCATGGGTAACAGTGTGGGGAGGGCAGGTACTGAGCACCTTCCTTCCATGCCTCGTCTCCAGTCATCCTGGCAAGGTAAAGATGGCCACCCTCCTGTCAGTAGGTGAGTAAACATGCCCATGGGCTCATTCTGGCATGGAAGTTCTGCCCCTCTCCTTAGTGTGGTTCTACAAGGCTCTCATGGCTGCCCAAGTCCTCCCTAGTGGTTACATAATGATAGAGGCAAGGGCTGCACTGACGGAGTTATTCACCAAGTGCCCTGTTAGGGTGGGGTGTGGAGGGAGCATGAGTTCAATAGGTGGCCCTAGTCCTTCTGTGTCAGCGAGGCACAGGCAGGGGTCTTCAAGTCCTGCTTCTGTCTTCTGATTATGCGACTTTAGTGAGTCGCCTGGTCTCTCTAAGCCCCTAGGTCCTGGCTAACACATTGCGACATAACCATAACCCGACCACAATACCTTAGTGACTGCTGCCTCCCTTCCCTAGTCTGTGCACCCATTCTCTCAAAAATTTGTTTTGAAACAGGATCTCATTTAGCCCAGGCTTGCTTCAGACTCTATGTATAGCTGAGGCTGGCCTTGAATTCCTGGTCCTCCAAGTACCGGGATTATAGGCCTTGGCCAACACACTAGGTTTCAACATTTATTTATTGAGAATCCATGACACTCCCGTGGCTGTGGTGTTTTTAGCCTTCCTCACCTATGATCTGTCCTTTTGGGTAAGCAGTGGAGCCCCCCCCACTGACCCCCCCTGCACCCAACACTCACACAGTTGCTGAGCACTGGGCTTTGAGGCGTGGGGGGACAGTGCCACCTAATGGCTAGGTGCTTCCATTCCTGCTGTTTGCTTTCTGCTTTCCTAGACGCTCAAGACTGCAACTCTGGCTCCCCCTAAGGGCTGGGGACTGGAGGCCCATCCATGCAGCTGTGGGTGAGGCTTCACCCCTGCTGGGTGACGCAGGCATGATGGCGGGTACTGCCATACGTGCAGCTTAAAACACAGGAGAGCTTACTGCCTGGCAGCACAGAGGCTGCCTCTATAATTCCTCCCCAGAGGGAGACACGGGTAACACCTACCCTTCCTCCTAAGGTGGCGCGGACAAACCGAAGTTCACTCCGGAGAACCAATGGGCTTCCTTCTAGAGCACAGGTAAAAGCGTACTTACAGGAATGTGGGTGCTCCTCCTCCCAAAAGGCTGCACCTGGAAAAGCCTCATCCAGAACGGATGATGACTTACCCATAGCTGCTTAGATGGAGCTCCAATCCCCAGCCAATATACCCTAACCACCCTGAGGCCACTTGCAATTAAGAGAGAGCTGCATACAGCAGGTGGTAGGGAGTGGCTGGCTACTCAGGTGAAATTCTCCTGACCTTCCCCCAGCGATCCATTAGAGGACACAACTGGAACCATTGTTTTGAAAAAGGGCACAGGAGAACTTTCCCTAGATCATGGTTGCTTGGCTGGGAGGACAGTCACAAGGGTACTCTTTTATTTCTTAAGGGGCAGGGCCTCCATATTACCCAGGCTGGTCCTAGGCTTCAGCATGCCCCATCTCAGGCTCACTAGCCGGGGCAGCAGGCATGTGAGGTAACTTGTTTTTGTTTCTGTGTATGTGCCTGCTAATCTGTGTGTGCACCACATATGTGCAGATGTCCGTGGAGGACAGAAGAACATTGGATCCCCTGAAACTGGACTTACAGACAGCTATGAACCTCTGTGTGGTTACAGGAAACAGAACTTGATTCCTCCGCAAGAGCAGCCGGTGCTCTAAACCACCAAGATTGGGAGAAACATTTGCAACTCATACATATACCACAAAGGACTTACATCTAGAAAATATAAAGAGTTCTCCAAACTCAGTAATATGAAAACAAAAAAAGTCCAGTTTAAATAGTTCTAGTGCGTGTGCGTGTGCGTGTGTGTGTGCATGCGTGTACCCGATGTATGCATGTGAACATTTGTGCAGTGGGATGAGTCAGAGAACTGGCCATCTCCTTCAGTTTAAGTGGATTCAGGCAGTTGAGCTCAGGGTATCAAGCTTGATAGCAAGTGCCGTTATCCTTGCCAGCCTAGGCACATGTTTTTGCGAAGATGTGCAAATGTTCATAGCTGTGCAATAAACAAGATAAAGTTGGGGAGGGATTAGGAGGGGATGAGGCAGCGGGATACAGAGTTAATAAAATGTAACTAATAATAAAAAATAAAAATAAATAATAATAATAATAAAAAGATAAAGTTGTTGCTGAACATAGTGGCACACACTTTTAATCTCAGGTGCATATCTGTGAGTTTGAGGCCAGCCTGGTCTACACAGTGAGTCCCAGGGCAACACAATAAGACTCTCTCAAAAAAAAAAAAAAAAAAAGTGAAAATGCCCATCAGTAAATGCATAAATCAGCTGTGGCATGTCCATGCAATGGAATACAACTCAGCCACAGAAATGAATTATCATGGGACTAACTTATACCTGCCAGCTCCAAATAATGACACACAGGCTTATTTATCTTTATTATATCGTAGGCCTAACTCAGGCTACCTCCCAGCTAGCTCATCTAAACTTAAATTAACCTGACTATTCTAGTCCATATCTTCCACATGGCCCATTACCTCTCACTCAGTCCTGGCACCTGTTCCTTCCATCTCTGTCTCACACTGCGAATCTTTGGATGCCTGATTTTTCCCATACTCCCTATGTCTGCCCGGAAGTCCCACCTTTCCTCTCCTGTCTCAGTTTTTGGCCATCAGATCTATATTAAACCAATCAGAAGGTGATAGAGGAGAATGTTTAGAAAATATCGAGGCAAGTGATGATCCATAGAAATAACATTACCAAAGTCAGAACAGTACTCAGCTCTTTGCCGGTACAGAAATCAACATCCGAGTGATACAAAGACAACCTTCGCATGGTGAACAAAAATGTTACCCCAACAATGAAAGACTTTCAAAATAATTATGTTAAATGAAAGTAGCCCGGGCCCACAAAGAGGGCATAGAGTGAGCCCAGTCTTGTAAAAGCTTTAGAAAAGACAAACTGATAACACAGAGACAGAAAACAGATAGGGATAGCCTCAGGAGGGAGCAGGCAGTGCCAGGGAGAGCTAGGATGAAAGGGTTACAGATGGCTAGTAGGAAGTTCTTCAGAGCAATGAAAATGCTTATCATCTTAAATTGCATTGATACTTTCGTTGTCTGTGTGTTTGCATCTCTAGGGTCCTGTCTTAGTTACTTTTCTCATTGCTATGACAAAGTAAATGACAGAAGCAACTTGTGAAAGGGTTTATTTTCACCCACAGTCAGGAAGGCAAAGGGATAATGGGGACACAGAACAATACTACATAGGTGTTTTGTTTTGACCTCACAATCCTTCCTCAGCCTCCTGAGTGCAGGATTACAGGCATGCATCCCCCATGCCTGACAAACTATTATTTTCTTGTGTTGTATATACTTCAAAAGGAAGTTTCCTGAATATTTTTTGAACTTTCACATGAATTCAGCATTCCTGAACGAATTTTTCTTGCAACAAAAATCTTCAAAACTGAAGCCCACGTGAGTGGGGAAGGGACTCGTCTTGAGGGTTATTCTTTATCCTTGAGGGACAAGGAGGCAAGATGATGTCCTTGGCATTGGGTCACAGAAAGGTGCCATAGCAGGGGAGTCCTGAGACTGGCTGACAAGGCTCTCTCTGTGTGTTTTTGCTTGAGAGGCAAGAGTCAGGTTTGGAGGTCAGAGAGCACTCGGGAACTCGGGCCTGGTTGGCACCAACCTCCAGCCCCAGTGGTGGAAAAGGGGAATGGCAAAGAGTCGCCAGGCTCCAGGCTGTGGAGCAGCAGGCCTTTGTATATACGCAGGCTCAGAGCAGTTCCAAGTCCCCTGAGTGTCCCAGCCATGTTGCTGGGCCACAGGTATCACCCCTTTCCTCTGGGCATAGAATTGTGAGAACAGACAGGGCCAGAAGGCTCACCACCCAGCCCTGTGCCCAAGTCAGAGGGACTCAGTGGGGTCAATGATATAAAAGGTCTCTAGCCCCATAAACGGGGTGTGGTGGTACACGCCTGTAATCCCAGCATTCGTGAGGTTGAAGCAGGAGGGTCTGAGTTTGAGGCTAGCCTGAAATATGTGAGTCTGTGTCTCACCAATCAAAGGGAGAGAGGCAGAAGCATCCATAGGGAGCATGGGTGCGGCAGCCGCCCTGGCCAGGCCTGGTTGCACACTTAGGAAAGTCTATCCAGTTCATATCATAGTCTATCCAGTCTATACAATTCAAATAGAGGTTCTACATAAGCAGACCCGTGTCTCAGCAAGTTACCCAACTGTGCCTCTGTTTCCCTATCAGCAAAGCTAAGCAGGAATGACTACAAACAGCCATAAGCATTGAAAGAGTTACCATTTAAGTTAAATGTTCAGGCCCGGCCTCAGCTGGCCTCTGTGACATATTCATTGTCATGGTGTTCTTTTTAAAGTCCCACCCCTGCCCTTCCTCATGCCACACCCAAGTTTCCCAGTGTCAGGGGAATTTCCTACCCCAGGTTTAGCCGGGTTTGAGATTCTTGTTTTATTTCTATTGCCTTGTCTACGGAAGAGTCTCAGAGAAAACTGAGATCCCAAGAGGGGGTGACATACACATTTGGGTCCACTGTTCCTGCAAAGCCTGCCATGTCCAGCAGGGGGCGATCAGCACCAAGCTTTGCTTAGTTAGCGTGGGTCCCTGAATACAATCTGCGGATTCCTATACCACAAGTCTGATGTGGGTAGACTTGTGGAGCCTTATACCTTACTATTCAGCCTCAGTTTCCCCTGGTGTGTGAAATACGAGCACTGTCCATTCTGCCTCCCTGGCCTCAGTGTCCCAACCTATACCAGTCTTCACTCCAGGGCAGCCTTCCTTCAATCCCTACACCAACAAGACTTCTAAATAACACAAATGAAAGACCGCCCCCAAAATCACATCTTTATTGTTTGATTATTGAACTGACTTGGAGGGATGAACAGAAGGGTCGGGGTGGCTATTTTGAGTAGCCAGAAACTCTTGTTATTTGTATACAAAACATGAATGTTATAAAAACCATGTAGAAAACGGGTGGGCACAGCAGGAGCCTGACCGAGGACTCAAGGCACCTGGGAATTTGAGACATGGTCCAATCTCGCATCTGGAGAAGTGTTGCCAGGGCTGCACCCAGCACCTCCTGCCCATGGAACAGACTCACTCTCTTCTCTCCTTAAAAATCACTGCAAAACTGCCCTTGAAGGGGCATAATGACCACCGGCCAAGGCACTGCCAGAAATAAAACGGGCCCATAGTAAGCCCTGAGCTTCTTCCCCTGGGTCATCCCTGTTCCCCCAATCCCGGGGGGACCCTCGGGGCTCCCAGCCTTCCCCTGGGAGGAGTGGCCATCAGACACTGCACACAGGCACCTACACCCTGGGCTTTGGTCGGTGCCGCGATCGGACAGAGTTGCTGCAGCTGGTCCTGTCCAGCTGGTGTAGACTGGGAGGCGATGTGCAGTTCAGTCCTGCTGGGGCTGCTGTGCCAGGCCAGGGCCTAACTGGGATAGCACAGACAGCACCCAGTGACTGCTGGGTCCATGCTGGACTTGGCACCAGGCCCCAGCAATCCATCAGTGACCGAGTGCTCCAAGATAATATCCTCCACACGCGTGATGTACAGGAGTGTCAGCAGCACACCGAGAAACTGAGGACAGAGAGAGGGCTGGTGAGAGCCTGTTGGCACACGGGCACCCCCTCCCTGGCATTTCCCTTCACTGGGTGGCTAGAAGAAATGGAGGCATGCCAGCACCCACTGCCCAGGCAGCCCCAGGCTGGACCTCCTCTTCCCTTCCCAGGAACACGGAGACTTCCTGCACACGTGCCCTAGCACAGCCCCTCTGCCCTGGGCCTTCTGTCTCCATCCCAGCAACGCCATACCTTTTCTGGGGACCTTGGGAAAGTCGCTTCACCCTTTGAAGCCTCAGTTTCCACCACTCCAACCTCTGACTGAAGGCAGAGCCAAAGCAGAGGGAGCCATGGAGGCTACTCCATTTGCCTCTCCTTCCAGACCGCAGCCCTCCTGGGGCCTCTGGGCCTTCACCACTCAGCCTGCTTCACCGGCACCCACTGACTACCCACCTGAGGAAGCAGGATGCCCAGTAGGAGACCCGCCATGATGGTGTAGTTGTCCATGAACCATATCAACACGGCATTGGTGCAGCCCCGAACATGAATGATGTTCTGTGCACTCAGGCGCTGTGCGGGAAGAGGGTGTCAGCATGAGAAGGTGGCCGTGTGGTCTCCTGTACTGCTCCTGAGACAGCACTGGGGACATTGTGGTAGAGAACTGCTGGGAACGGAGGGATGGCAGAGTATGCGTGCCCATATGCCTCCCAGGTGTCACCCAGCGCTGCACACCTGAGCCAAGAGCCAGCTCCAGGTGTGTGTGTGTGTGTTTAAACTACATGGCTTTAATGTGCAGTGAAGCTTCTAGAATTCACTGTTCTATTTTTCCACCAGAGGAAAATCCCTCACCATGAAACTTTGTTCTATGCACAAAATTATTAAAAACCTCATTTGAGGGTGTGGGTAATGGCAGGCTGCTCACGTTCTGGTGGATGCCCCACCCTCATGCATATATGCAGAACTAATTGGGCCCAGTGGGTGAGTAAAGAAAGAAATAAAAGGGACTGGGCATGGTGGTTCACACCCTTAGTGCTGGCACTCTCTCAGGAGGCAGAGGCAGGAGAATCTCTGTGAGTTTGAGGCCAGCCTAATCTATATAGAAAATTCCAGGCCAGTGGGGCTACATAAAGAAACCCACCACCCCAGCACCACCTCAGCATCCTGAGGACTGCCCAGAAAGTTGATGCAGGAGGACACCGAAGAAGAACTCTCTCTTCCCCGGGGGCTCCTGGGTCCCAGGCAGGTAACACTACTGTGACCTGCCAACAGGCTGTAGGGCTGGGAGGCAGTGTGTGAGGGGCCCTGGAAAGGCATGATACCTCAGATAAGCCTGCGGAGAGAAGCTACTCAGCAACCTGGGCAGATGGCCTCAGGTGGCTCCCTGGGCCCTTCTGTGACTGACAGCCAGGGAGAGTTGGGAAATCTGAGTAGCTAGGAGCCCTCCACTAGAAACCGTCCACCAGCCAGGGAGTGGGATTCGAGGAGCACCGTGTGGGGGGACAAAGGGTTCCCAGCTGTTACCTCCTTGTCGATTGTTTTGTAGCCGCACATGGTGTTGACAACATCTGTCTGAAACAGAAACATATCAGCCATGATTCTGCAGGGTGGAATCGATTTTTACAGATGTAAGAGCGGAAGCGCAAGTATACAGTCTGGTAGGGGTGGAACTGAGATTTCTCGCCTCCGGCAGCCAGCTCCACGGCAGGAGGCTCCACCTCCAACAAATGCCCGCTGGAGAACCATGGGCAGGCCCCCTCCCCGCTGGAAGCTGAGCCAAGCTGTTCCCATTTTAGTGGCTCTCAGAAAGGAACTGCTCAAACCACAACTGGCCCCCTGCCAGCTGTGGTTTACCTGAGGGCAAGGCTGGGTCACTGGCCACGCTTCCCCGCCCCTTCAAAGCTGGCCTTGACACCAAGGAGCCACAGAAGTTCTCGTCTGAAAAAAGGGCCATTCTCCAGGCCTCCGTGCTGCTGACTGATTTACACCTGGGGACCCTATGGCTGGGCTGTAGCCCCCATCTAATTCCTTCCCAAGTGGGCCCCATGACACTTCCCTTCACTGTCTGTGCCCTGCTTGGTTGCACCTTCAGCCACAGGGAAGAGGAGGAACCCCAGGTCCAGCCTGGACCTAGTGTGGGTCCCTGTACATGTACGTGAGGCCTGTGCTGGGCCCGAGGGCCGCTGGCGCCAGTGACGAGACAGGCCAGCAGAGTAGCCTCAGATTTCACAGGGCAAGTTTACTTGGCACTGTTCCAGACTCTGGGTGAGGCCCCACCCACAGCCACTCTGTTTCCATGGTTACGGGCTGGGGTGGTAGGCACAGCTGTTGAAACCATCAACAAGAGACTTTCTACGAGTTATATGTGTATGGGTGGGGGGAACAATTGCCAGGCTTTTCTTCCATGCTCCGGTCCAGACACGGGACAGTTCCTGACGTACTTGTAACACCTCAGGCGGGACTGACAAGCAGTGAACGCACAGCTCAGCATCCCACATGCCTGGGGAAGTGACAGCTGAGAAGCTCCTGCTGGGGCAAGTGGAGGCTGGCAGTTACATCACCACATCCCTCCTGGCCACAGCCTTGCTGCCAGAGCTCGCCACACCTGCACTGTACTCTGCCTACAGCTGACCGGGGGGGGGGGGGGGGGGGAGCTGGCTGCCCCTTCAGAGCACTCTGGCCCTCTGCTGCCTGACATAGCCCTGGCAACCTTGGGCACGTCTTCTAAAGCGGGTAAAGCAAGGGCGCCCCTGGCCTCCCCCAGGCTGTTGTAAGGGCCGAGCAACTACGACCAAAGAGCCACATGTCCAAGAGATGCTCACTGACACAGTCACAGAGGAAGCTGTCCATGAAGCTCCCCATCGCCAGAGCCCTTGAGCTAAGGAAAGCCTGGGCACTGGCCCCACTCCCACTGCCCGCTCCCTGCTGGCCGGCTGGGTGACCCCACACCCAGCACCCATGCAGTTACCGTGTTCCTTATGCAGCAGGTGTAGGGCACCCCACAGGCCAGCGGCCCAGGGGCACTGCAGTCGTGGTACTGGTTTTTACTCCAGTCTCTGTAGTCCTCCCCGCCGCAGCACTTGAACTGAGGAGCGAAGCACAGAGAAAGAGCTGCAGTCATTGCCAGGGCCGGGTCAGAAGGCAGGAAGCACCAGCTAGGAGGGATGTGGGGGTGGGGGGTTGGGAGTACCAGGGTGCCGGGGTGGGGGAAGTGCCAGGGTGGGGGTGGGACTACCAGGGCCTCATGAAGCCATGCTGTTAGGTCAGAGCTGTCAAGAGTGACCTGGCCATCCAGAAGGGCGTGAGCTCCCCACCTGGAGAGGCTTACACAGTAAGGCTGGACTACTTCAATTGGACAGAAGATGGTAAGTAGACACTAGAAGGAAAGTCCACCCCTAGACTGGTCAGCATCTTCCCTTCCGTCTTCAAGCCCCTGAGGCAGGGGTCTGTCTGGAGAAGACAGCCTTAGAGGCCAGCTCCTGTGAAAGCCCTGCTTCATCCTGACCTTGGAGACCTGAATACCTGCCATAGCCCCTTCCCCTGACTTCCCCCTCCCACCTCTACTCTCTACACCAGGGCCAGCTCCTGGGGGTGGGGGGTGGAGCAGAGACTAGTTCTGCAAAGAGACTAGCTGGGATGGCCTCCTCCTGGGCTCTGCACAGACAAAGTGAAATCACTTGGGGAAATAGAGTAGGTGACAAGAACCGCAGCCAGCCATGCAGGCCTGCCTGAGTCCTGAGAGGAGGAATACTACACTTTTGAAACCAACCTGGACTACATATCAAGTTCTAGTACAGCCTGGGCTACAGTAGAAGACTCCCACCTCCCCTCCCCCACAAAAAAACCCAAATTATACCAAAACCACCTGGGGGAGAGGAATGGTACACCCGGGCATAGGAAAGTAGGGGGAGGTGAAATAGCTTTGTGTTGGGAGGACAGGAGGGGCTGTTTGAAGGAGAGAACATTTTATCTGAAACATGAACAAGGAAAAGGCAGTCAACATGTATGTGCACAGGCCCTGCACACAAACAGGGCTGTGGGTCAACAGCAGGCAGAAAGGCCAGTGAGCAAAGGGAGATGAGGTCCAGGGAACAGCAGCTATATGTGCAAAGACCCATCATTCAGAGTAAACAGGGGGCTGGGACCGTGTGCAAGGGGGGGAGCTGAAGGCTCGTGCAGTGGGAGGAACCAGTCCACACAATCTGGACGCCCTCCCCAAATCTGCACTGTGCCCTGCCGGCCACGAGGCCTTGTGATCCACAAATGCTATCTAACTGCAGTGTTGGACAAGGGGTGTTTGTTCTGCTGCCAGACGGATACTGTTCAAATCCTCACATCACCACTCCAGCTGTGTGACCAGAGGCAAGGTGATCAACCTCTCTGGGCCCCGGATGCTAAAAAGAGCAATGCCAACTTCAAGGGGCTGAGCTGCAACTGTAAGAGAGGCTCTGCTCAAAGCCTCCTGCACAAGGCCTGGTGAACATTAGTTCCCTCACCCCCCTGCCACACCCGAGGAGAAATTAAATCCCAGAGCCAGCTAAGGGCTGGTTCCAACAAAAGCATCTACCCGGAGTATGACTTGGCTCTCCCAGCCTGGGCTGGCAGGCACATTGCTGGCAGAAAAGAATTATCCAGTTGCTGCACCTGTTCTCTTACAGAGAAACACAGAGCCAAAGACCTGGACTGTGGTAAGGCTGGCCTCCACTGAAGCCTTTCGTAGGGGACCAGGCACATCCAACAGCCAGGCTCGGGGGGCCTGTGGGGAACCTCCACCATCATTATTGTCATCCAGTGAATGAAGTGACCCTACCACACTGGCTCTGCTCTAATCATATTGGAAAGAAGCCAAGGGAGTCTCAAGCACAGCAAGGGGAGAGACCAGAATCAGCCCCATGGTGCGGACAAGAAACCAGAGCCTCTAGACTAAGTGGGAGGCAGGCAAGCCCCGGGAGAGGGGGGCTCTGCTGCAGCTGTAACTGTGGCACCCATATGCTGGGCTGGGCCTTGAGGAGAGGGACAGTGTCCCAAGGGATGCACAATTAGCATCACATTCAAAAATGCATCAGAGAGAAGGGAGGGATTTTGTCCTGTGCCCAATGGGGGGAGGAGGAGCTGAGATTAGGAGGGAGTTTTTCTTTCCAACTTTACTAAAGTGAGTGAGCGCTCGACACTAGAAAAACTAGGTTCAGGAGGCTGGACACCAGAGCAAGGTCAGCCAGTCCCCAAAAAAGCAGATTCCTGCCACCCCGGGGGTGAGCCTTGGGGCCCTGTAAGGTGGCCAGAGTGACATCTGGCCTTGTTGTGAGTTGTTTCCCCATGTTTGAAGGGCCAGCCACAGGCCAGCCACCTACACTGGGAATAGACAGGTCACCTAGCCCTTCACCCCGCTCCCTTGAATCCAGGGCAAGGGTCCTGGAGGTAGCCCTCTGCCCCTCATTCCCCCCTGCCCGGTCACCTTCTTTTGAACAAAGTCCATGATGTTCTTGAAGTCCAGGTCATCATAGTAGTTCTCAATTCCTCTCCGAATGTTGTCATTCAGAAAGTCAATGGTCTAGACAGAAGGAGAAATTACCAAGGAAAAGGAGCACAAGGTAGGGGCTAGCCCTGGATTACTCTACAAGTCCAGGTTAGCACAGAGGTGAGCCCAACAGTTCCCACCTACCCAAGCAGAAGGTCCCCTCTACTCCCTGCCCTGAACACCTGAGACTGCCCAGCTCACAGACATCCTTCAGGCTTCCAAGGCCCAGATCCTGAGAGGCCGACCTCCAGGCTCCAGCTGTGAAGGGGCATGCTGTTTCTGGAACCTATTCTCTCCCTTGCCCAGCAACAGCCTGTGCTGGAATCTTCCTTTGGTCCTACATCCCCTTCTCCACTCTCATCACCCAACCTCCTGCTTTATAAAGAAGGAAACAGACCCCAGGGGAAGAGGACCATGGAGCTAAGAGAAGGCGAAATAGAGGAAAGATTTTGCACTGGGTCATGGAACAGGCTGACCAAGATTGGAACCCAGGTCCCCTGACACCATCCATGATCCTCTTTTCATCACTTGGTGCTCCACCCGGAAGAGCGCTGGAATGCCACCCTCTCCCCAGTCATGCTGGGCTCTCAGAAGCAACAGGCGGCTGTTGTGCTGAGATCCCTAGAATACAAAGGCCCCACAGCAGGCATGGCTGGGGCGGGAGAGTGGGCAGCCCAGCCACAGGCTTGTTGTGACAATCGAAGCTTTCAGAGCAGAGGCAGAGTACCAACAGAGACTGAGGACAAAGGGGCATTCTTGGCTCTGAATCAGGACAGAGGAGCCAGACAATTCCTGGGGGAGGTGCCATGAGGTACACTGGGATGGCAGGGGGCAGCTTCCGGGCCCTGTTAGGGCTCACTTTCCCATTGGTGAACCAACCCTGGGGACCTTCCAGATCAAAGCATCAGAGACTAAGCTAAGAGGGGCCATCAAGTCTCATTGTCCCTGTTGCCACCAGATTCCAGGCACTTCTTTTAATCTCTAATTTCCCTTCTGTCATCCACAAAATAGGGAGGGAAATAAATCAGCCTTCTGGGGGTTCAGGAGTTTGAACCCCTGAAAGTGCTCATGGATGCCAGCCACATGGTATGTCCTGGTAATACAGACCTCCCTACATGTGGGAAACAGATTCCTCATGGTGTCACTTCATACTGTCACAGAGGAAGCCTCCACGCCCAGGGATACTAAGGGCCACTCCTTGCCCAGGGGACCTCCTGTAGAGCAGCAAATCCTACTGCAAGCATTCTGGAGCTGACCAGAGACACCTGCAGCCCTGAGACCAATATGCCTTGTCTGAGGTCCCCGAGCTGACCGAGATGCCAGCCTGACAGCCTGACACGTTCTGCACTAGGAGCTATGAAGCCTAGACTCGGGTGTGGCTGCCTCTCCTCAGACCCACACTCCTCAGAGTGAGGTGAGGACAGAACCTGACTTGGGAGCCTAGAGCCCCCATCCCATGATGACCAGCAGCAACATGGACTCCAACAGGAAAGCAAAGCTACAGGCTTCTAGAAGAGGTTCTGAGGTCACCAGCATACAACGGTCATGGGTCTGGGACTGAACCCTAGAGCAGGGGTTGAGTGGACCGGTCAGCCGTACTGCACAGGCAGAGCCAGCCAGCTCGTAGCCTGGCCTCCCCATCAACCTTGCCTGCCTGTTTCTCTGGGGGATGTGTTGGCAGGCCAGATGGCTGGGGTGGAGTGCAGATGAATAAGAAACAGGACACTGGGGCGAGGTTGTCTGCCACTCAAGGAAGAGGGCCAAGGGAATGAGCTCACAGCCTTGAATGATGCACTGTGGGGCCTCATTGGTTAGTGAGTGACACCAGGATTAGGGACTTGCCTCTGCCAGGAGGGTAGAAATGTGATGTGAGCAGCTTCATTCTACTCTCCAGGCACCAGGTATATAGACCTGGCTCACCATGGGCTTTCCTTCCTACCTCAGCCATTCTTCGATCTCCATGGAGTCCCTTCCCACAGGGATGGATGAGGGCAGGAGGCAGGGTGGCCAGGGTAGGCTAGTAGGCTAGTGGGGTCTCCCCCCTCTCTCTTTTTTTCTCTCTCTATCTATCTCTTGTTCTGGGTTGATCTGATGCTAGCCCTCAAGATCTGATTAAACCTATTCTTGTTGTGTAAACCTGCCTAAGTCATAATCTGATTGGTTGATTAAACAGCCTATGCTGGGGCAGGGCAGATGGGGTAGGGGCGGCTACCATTCCGGGCTTTTGGGTTCATGAGAATCATGGGAGACAGACAGACAGGAAGAGGAGAGGAAGGAGGATACCACAATGCGTTAATGTGGAGAAAATAACCATGTGGGCAGAGAGGAAGGACTCCAATAATGGCATGAAAAGGCCCAGATGAATAATTCAAGCAAGTATGATTAGGGATGGAAGGTAGACCAGCTGAGGAGGATTAAGGTGGATGGCACTGGATGGGGGCTGGGAGATGGATGGTGAAGTTACCGAGCCAGTGTGGGTGAAATATCTGCCTGGCCCAAGGTAAATAAGGCAATTATAAAGTCTAACAGGTGTCTGTGTCTTATTATTTGTGATAACGGGTTAGATAATACCGCCATGATAATCTTGGGGTTAATAATGAATAACATTATATCACCCAAAACATTCATTTTTTAAAATTCATTACAACACACACTCTCTCTCTCTTTTCTACCCTCCCTCCCGGTCTTGCTGAGTCTAGCTAGTAAGGTATGTGCTGGCCCTACCAAGACAGAACAACAGACCAGGCAGACCCATAGATCCATATGAGGACTCCATTTCCATCAAGTGAGCTGCATTAGCTGTGCTGGGGAGGAAGGCCCTGCAGGGAACCTCCCTGATCAGACATGAGCGGATGGTACTGGGCCCCACCAGCTCACATAAGATGGTTCTTGGAGTAGCTCTGGCGGTTGCAAACCTGCACTGCTCCTGGAATTGTGCGTGTGGTGTGTTTCCTGGGAACATGAGCAGGACACGGAGGTGGCCCAGGGCTGTGGCCATTGAAAAGAGACAAATTCCCGTGATGTACTCAGGTGGTGCGGCTCCCGAGCAAGGGCTTGAAAGTGTTCACAACACTCATCATTCACGACTCAAGGGAGTTGGAGTGAGTCAGAGGCCATGCCCTGGTGGGGACAGGGCACAGAAGAGAAACTCTAACTTCTGCAGCTGCTCCCCAAGGCGAACCACACCACTGTCACCACATCCAGCTCTCAACCAGGTCACACCAAGAGAAGCAACTTCAGCCAGCAAGCTGCTAACAGGCCACAGAGGGGCACCTGACCCAGAACAAGCAAACCTCAAAGGCCACATGACTTTCCAAGTGTGTTAAGCCATCAGATAAAGCCGTGTAGACCTGTCCTTTGCAGACTTTTCCTTTGGATCTGGATTTGTAGCTTCAGGTGCCTCCGCCTCACCCCAAGCAAGTTTTGGGCTATTTCCAATGAGTGGGCCACGTGGTGCAGCTTCTGTGCAGGGACAAGTGTGAAGGAGTCTGAGAGCTCCCCACAGGCTGGCCGCCCCAGGATCTACCCCTCTGGGCCGCTGGAAGCTGCCCAAAGTTTCTGTCACTTCCCTGGACAGCTCCTAAGACCTCAGGCTGCTGGGCAGATGTATATATATGTTCAGGCGCTTACCCAAGGGGACTGTGGAACCACCAGCTTTCTCCTGTCCCCAATTTCAAGACATCCCAAGTACTGGCTAGTAATGCTCTGCCGGGCCAAGATAACCAAGATGGTGCTGTCTGCTAGTCTCTGGCATCAGGAATGACCAAGACATCCTCTGATAAAGATAGAAAGCGCCCTGCAGTTGCTTTGTTCTGCTGAGATAGTTGGCAGAGGCCTGGGAGAGTGGTACAGACCTACCAGCTATAGCCCAAGACCCTCCAGTGTTTCTGCTCAGTTTTGCCACCTCCAAGACCTCTGATGCCCTCATGATGAGACCTAGAGCAAGCTAGGACAACAGTAAGTATGGAGAAAACAGCTCAGGTTGTAGGGTCACCAAGTCCCATGCTTGTGCCCAGAGTCAAGGAACTGAGCATTTTTCCGTGGTACCCACCACACACTTGCATAGACTGAGGAGCCACTGTGCCCTGATTTCTGGGTCCTCCTGAGTACAGCTGCCTCACCTGGCTCAGGGAGACAATTTCTTCTCTCATCCAGGCAGCGACCTCTCATTGAGTGGCCGTGGCCATGTCCAGCTGCTCCCTGAGAACCTGGCCTCAGTTGTTTCCACAAAGCTGACTCTCAAAATTAACAGGCAGCCCATGGTGCTGGACACTGAACTTGTCCTACAATGGCTGAGGAAACCTGCCTGCTCCTGAAGAAGCTGTTCACTTGGGCACTCTCGTTTTCGATTTTCCCCATCTCCTTGTGGACCCCTCCCCCACCTGGGAGCTTCTCCTTCCCCGATGCTCAGCACTGGCTTGGCTCCTGTCTTACAAAATCACATTGCATTAGAGCCAGAACGGACCGAATGGTGATTTGTTTTTGTTGTTGTTGCTGGTTTTGTTACTTCATGTGGCCTTCCCTGCCAACACCATAAAAAGGGGAAGAAAGAAAGAAAGAAAGAAAGAAAGAAGGAAGGAAGGAAGGAAGGAAGGAAGGAAGGAAGGAAGGAAGGAAGGAAGGAAGGGAAGGAAGGAAGGAAGGAAGAAAGATAGATAGATAGATTTGAGGTCTCAAGAAAAATATAAAGGAGAAAACAAACCAACCCATCCTACTCCTCAGCTTCCAGAAATTTCTCCAGATTTTTATTAATTTATTTTTTTGGTTTTCCATGACAGGATTTCTCTGTATAGTCCTGGCTGTCCTGGAACTTGCTCTGTAGCCAAAGCTGGCCTTGAACTCAGAGATCTGCTTGCTTCTGCCTCCCAAGTGCTGGAATTAAAGGTGTGCAACACACACCCAGCTTCAGGTCTTTCTTTAAATTATTTAAAATATTTACTATGTAACCTACATAGGTCTCAAAGTTGCAATCTTCCCAAGTTCTGGGATTATAGGTGTGCACCACCATGCCTGCTATGTTCTAAGAATTTTAACTATTATGATGAATATATTGTGATTTTTTTTTTAGACAGGGTCTTTCTGTACATCTCTGGCTAAGGTACTCACTATATATCTCAGGTCTCAGGCTGGCCTCAGACCCTCAGCAATGCTCCTGCCTCAGCCACCCCAGTCCTAGGATTACAGGCATATGCCACTATTTCATATGTTTGCTTTCTTTTGTTCTTAGTTCCTTGTTTATAACTCGATTCCCCAAGGAAAGCCAAAACAACAACAACACCCTACAGGCTCTACTCCTCACAGAGGGTCACAGAAGTGGCCATGTTGCCCACTTTGGGAGGCTACAAAGATCAGCTCTGGGCCATCCTCATCTGGTAAAGTCATTCCAGAGGGTCCTGTGGCAAGCCCACAAGAGGATGCTGAAAAATCTTCAAACAGGCTTCACCACCAGCTTATGAGCAATCAGGCCCACACAGTGTTTCCACAATGACTCGATGGGACATTGGAGAATTGAGCATGGGGAGGGTCTTAGAGGGTGAAGTTCTGGGAGAGATGCTAGGAGCTATGGCCACTTTCTCCCAAGCACCTATTCTGTATTTTTTACAATAGCTTTGGCATGTTTTTTTGTTGTTGTTGTTGTGGTGGTGGTGGTTATTGTTTTTGTGTGTATGTGTGTGTGGTTCTTGTTATTTGTTTTGTTTGAGACATGGTCTCTCTACATAGTCCTGGATATTCTGGAATTCACGATGTAGCCAAGGTTGGCCCCAAATTCACAGAGATCCACCTACCTCTGTTTCCTGAGTGCTGGGATTAAACCACACTTGGTTGGCATGTTTTGTTTAGTCTTGAGACTGGGTTTCAAAGAGCTGAAGTAGCCTCAGACTTACTATGTAATTGAGGGATAGTCCTGAACTCCTTCACACAATATGGAGTATACATTTCATGGGCCATAGTGCCCATAGGGTGTGGGGATAACTGGAAGGTCATTCCTGACCCAGGCCCTGACTTCCTGAGCTGTGAGGACTGAAGGTCCCAAGAGGCTGCCAAGGCAGTGGCCTTCACTCAGCTCAGCTCCCTCATTTAAAAGAAGGAAGTGATGTCATGGCCCCAGTTGACCTACAGAGCACTGGGAAATGACAAATCTGACAGCCTTGGAGAGGCATGCTGGAACCAGGACTAGCTCACTTGGTAGGTTTATTAAAGCCATGAATGGTGTTGACCATGGGCTGGCCCTGGGGCTCAGCCAGGAAAGTGCTAACCCAGACCCTCACAAGGCCACTGGCCAACTGAGAACCCTGCTGATCATACACAAAAGACCCGTGCTATACCACTACAATAAATCCTTCTCTCCACTCAAGACTGCTGGGAAACGAATCAGTACCCCATTCCTGCCAGCTCAGAGTTGTTGTTCTGAAAAGCAGAAAGGAGGAAAAACAAAACAGAAAACAACTAAGGGCCCCTGGGGTGTGGTAGCACACATCTGTAATTCCAGCACGAGGAAGATACAGGCAGGAGGCTCAAGTTCATCCCTGCCACATAGCTAGTTTGAGGACACCAGACTATAGTGACCTGTCTCAGAAAACAAACCACACACACATACACACACACACACACACACACACACACACACACACACACACAGAGAGAGAGAGAGAAAGAGAGAGAGTCTTGCTGTTCAGGGCAGGGTTCCTTAAACCCTTTGGGCATTGCTGATTCTATCAATTCAGTGGGAACTGGCCCTCTCCCTGGAAACCCTTGAAATTCACCTGTTAGGAAGCAGACCTAGGTAGGCTACACTTGCTTAGGATTGGGTCCCACTGTTCATGTTTCTTCCTGGGTCAGAAAACCATCATGCTGATGTAGGATATATTAGGGATCAGACATGGTGTTCTTTGAGGGTTTGGGGTAGCAATTGATGACTTGGGATCAACTTCTGACAAATTACATGATTCAGCTGCCACCCTGAGTCACAGTCTTGTTGTTTAGAGACAGGGTTTCTCTGTGTAACCTTGGCTGTCCTGGAACTGACTACGTAGACTATACTGACCTCAAAATCAGAGATCTGCCAGCCTCTGTGTCCACCTGAGGCATAGTCTTAACACTACTCCTAATCAGGGACCAATCCGTCTGGGACTAGGAGGGTGGGGTGGGGTCAGGGAAGGGGACAGGAGTCCTAGACTTCTGTAAACAGGCCTTGCTCAAGCCCTACCAAAAACACCACCCAAGGAGGAAGAAGACAATAGGAGAAGCAGCAGAACTCAGTGTAGAGCTCGGTGGTAGAGCATGAGCAAGAAAGGCCCTGGCTTCCATCCCAGCATCCCAAAGACAGCGCTACCCCATCACTAACAGGATCCTCCACAAATAATGCCCAGGCAGGTCTACAACAGTGGTTCTCAACCTATGGGTTGCAACACCTTTGACAAACCTCTATCTCCAAAAATATTTTCGTTACAATTCCTAACAGTAGCAAAATTGCGTTTGTGAAGTAGCAACGGAAGTACTTTTATGGCTGGGGTCACCACATCATAAGGAACTGTCCTGAAGGACCGCAGCATTAGGAAGGTTGAGAACCACTGGTCCAGTCCGCGCCTGGACCATGCCCTGCTCATCACATTCACACTTTCATTCCACCTTCACCCTAAACTCGATGTATTGAGGATCACAGAAGCCACCTGAGAGTGCAGACTCCAGTGAAGGCACTGGGGACCTGGAACTGTGAGACTCGTGTGGGTCTGTGGGGTCCTCATTCTGTAGACCGGTCTTGGGCATCAGGTATCACTCACTCAACCTGTTCCTCCCCCAAATCCTGTATGCAGATCCAAAACAAACCTCAAATCCCACCACCTGTGACCTGGGGGCATTTGCCTTCGCTTCCATCGGAGCCAGAATCCCTTCTTCTCTGGATGACTGTCACAGACTCCCTGCTAGCCTCCCATGTCGCCCTTACTTCCTACTGCCTGTTCTCCACTTGGCAGCTGGAGTGAGCTAGATGTAAGATAGATGTGAGTCAGGTTAAGTCCTTCCCTGCATACAGCTCTCTAACAACTCACTGCCTTTCAAACTCACCCAGGGCACCTGATCCATGACCTCTGAGGACCTGCATACTCCCCAAGCCAGCCAGCCAATCTTGCCTTCCATCCTTCTCTCCATACCTTACCCTGCCAGCCAAGTAGACTCCATCTACACTGTTCTGCCAGTGTGTCCAGTGGTTCCTCCTGCTTCTGCCCATCCAGCTCCTTTCCATGATGCAAAGCTGCATGCCTGGCCCCTCTCAGCTCACCCAACTTCATCTTCTGTGCTACGCTAGGGGAACCATCTGTCTACCCTGCCCATGGCAGCACCCTGGATACAGCCCGGAGCACGCACAGTGGGCGCTCAGCACACACATGGCCGACGAAGAGCCCGAGGCCTACCTGGTTCCGGAAGATCAATGCCACTATGCCACCGATAAGCTCCATGATGAGGCAGATCCCCAGGATATACATAAACTGCAAAACAAGACGCAGAGATTCATCCGGGCACTGGGGAAAGGCTCAAGGGACTCCTCACCTGTGCTGACATAGACCATAATAAGGTAGAAACCCTCCTGACTGAGCCTTGCTGCCCCTCCTAGAGAATACAGGACTGTGCTCAAGAAGGCTTGACTCTAGAGAGTGGCCGAATTGCCCCAGGCCATGTTTGTCCCAGGGGCTATCAATGGAGTGGCTCTCCCCCCAGTTCAAGAGTGGTCTTCCTCCCTCTAACACAGCCAGAGGGAGCAGGCCTGGACAGCACTTCCTGTCCCTGAGAACCAGCCCCCAAACAGCTCAGAAGTGGCTTCCTAGTGAACCAAGTATAGAAGGTGTACCTGAAGTTTGGAGGATACTCGCTCTATCTCCTTATCTGAGAATGGGCACTGACCAAATTGATTCTAGCAACTTCGGCCTTGGGCAGTATCAAGACCCTGCTTGTGTGACTATAAAGCTATCCCATCAAAGGGATGGTGGGGGTAATGAGGTGAGAACACACATGCATCAGAAGAGGCAGGCCTTCACACCTGGTGTTCCCAGCATTGGGGTGTCATCCCTCAGCTCTAGACAGGGGTTGCACTAACTACAACCATCCCCCTGACGGGCAAGTAATCTGAGCCAGGTACCCCAGTGTACTGGGGCTCTGGCCAGAATGCCCAAGAAAGATGGCCCAGGCTCAACAGCAATAAAGACTCAGAGCCTGAAGATGATGGTAGCAGGAGGTGGCAAAACAGACTTCTCAGCTCTGCACAGTCGTAAGGATCCCTGGCCAACATGGGTTTGCTAGCTGTGTAAGCCAATGATTCATCACACCCCACCCCCACAAGCCCTGGCTTTGCTGGCTTTCAGTTGACTGTCATTTCTCCTATGACAAGCGAAAGTACAGAGGTCACATTCTCTCTGCAACAGCAGTATTCAAGTCAGATGCACATGCTGATGTGAAGTAGCTGGGGCGGACCTGGACCACTATGCTCCAATGACTGATTCAGGAAATGTTCTGGGGCAGCTGGACTGTGTGAAAGACAGGGAAATTGAGCTGGCCAGGGCAGAGGGACAGGCTCTTCAACTTTCTTAGAGACAACAAGAACTACTCCCTACATACAAGAGTTAGGAGGAACCACTTACCGACTGGAGGAGGCACAGGTTGTCCCGGAGGGAAGCCAGCACCCCGATGAAGGAGACGATGAACATGACCACTCCCAGGAGGATGAGGATGATGGCTGGGGCCAGGAAGGCGCTCTCCAGGGTTTTGTATTTCTGCCGCTCGACCTCTGCATAGATCCCCACCGACAGGACCAGGCCCCCAATCAGCTGCACAAAAGAGTAGGTGGTGAGGGGCTGCAGAGGTGAAATAGTTCAGTTGAAGCATGTTTGCCCAGAATGTAGGAGAACCTCCCTGATCCCCTACAGAGCATAAATGAGGAGCTGTGGTGCACACCTATAACCCCAGCATTTAGAAGGTGGGGCCTGGAAGATCAGAAGTTCAAAGTCATCCACACATGAAGTTTGAAATAAATAAAAAGACACAGAGAGACAGACAGAGAGAGAAATATATTTAACCAAAGAATCTCTCTGGAAACATAGTAGCAACCACATTCTGTGCATGAGGGACTCTGCTGCATGCTCAGCTATACCCCCCACAGGCCAGTACCTCAGAATGTGACTATATTTGGAGCTGGAACCTTGAAAGTAGTACTTAAGTTAAAATGAGGTCACTAAGGTGGCTCTACTCCAATATGAGTGCTGTCCTTATAAGAAATTACAGGCTGGGCGAAAAGCTCAGTTGGTAGAGTGCTTCCCTAGATGGCAGATGCCCAAGGTTCAGTTCCCAGCACCTCAGAAAGCGGGTGGTGGGTTAGCACTGAAAAGTAAAAGGAGGAGAACTGGGGCTTAAGGTCATCTCTGGCTACACGCGAGCTTGAGGCAAGCCTGGGATACATAAGGCCCTGTCTGAAGGGGAAAGAGAAAGCGAGATTACAACAAGAAACACTGAAGGAAGACCACGTGAAGATTCGTAAGGAAGACGGCCACCTGCCAGCCAGGGAGAGGGCTTGAGAGAAAAGAACTCTTGTCAAAACTTAATCCGAGGCTTTGACCCACCGAACTGTGAGGGAAGAAAAATCTGTGGTAGTGTATTATAGCAGACCTTGAAGACTGATACCAACTGTAGAGGACAGTGCTGGTGGACCAGGGAAACGCCACAGCCTGCAGCATCAGAGAACATGGGTTTGAGTCCCAGCTCTGAGACAGGCACTGGCCAGGACTCTGCATTCTCATCTCATTAACGGGTACAAACACAATCACTTCTGTCCTGCTCACCCCACAGCTTTTTGAAAGGTTTTAGAGAGATGACAAAGATGGACATTCTAGAAACATGGGGGGCCAGGGTCACTGTCATGCATACTCGATAGACCCACTGTTCCAGGACACTTCCCAGCTGCTCAGGGAGCAGACATTTCACTCAGTATCATAAACAAGGAATTTCCCGTCAGAATGACTGTCAAGAAGGCCGAAGGTCAAGACAGCAGAGATTTCTAGAGGATTTAAGCACACTCTCCCCTTACTGGTATTTTAACACTGACACATGGTATATGCCTCAGCCACGTGGGCTCAGCCCATGGCCTTCTGTTCCCACCTGGCGGAACATCCTATGACACACTTCCCGAAACCCTTCTGTGTGTGCTTAGGTGTCACCAGCTCTGTGAAGCCTTGTGGAGCCACATTATTAGAAACTGGAAATCCCTGACTGTTTTGGGCCACATAGTTGTAATTTCACCTCTCAGGAAGCTAAGTGGGAGGACTGAGAATTCCAGGTCGGCCTGGCCTACCTACATCAGAGACTCTTCTGTTCTCTCTCCCTCCCTCACCTCCCACACACACACACACACACACACACAGTGAAAAATAGTTTTAATGTTGGAGAGAGGAGATCCCTCCCTGTGAAACTCCTTAGGTATTTTTTCCTGGTTTATTTTCTTCTCCTTTTATGCTTATGAGTATGTTGGGGGAAGGGGAGCTGACTTGTTTGCTTGTTCTGTTGCTATAGCATCTCATGTGCCAAGGCTGGCCTTGAACTTACTGTGTAGCCCAGGGAGACATTAAACTGCCCATCTGCCCACCTCTGACTCCCAAGTACCGGGACTGATTTTACAGCATACACCACCACTCTGGGATTTGTACTTATCAGTATTAAATGTACATTATTCTTTTTCATTATATTACATTTATTGATTTGTATTTATTTACTTGGGGGGAGGACAGAGAGTGAAAGTCAGAGGACAACTTTGGAAATTACCACCATGTGAGAACTGAAGACTGAACTCAGGGAACTGGTGGCAAGGCCCCCTTACCCAGTGAGCAATCTCACTGGCCTGCTATTTTATCTTTTTAAATCATTTATCTCCATGTCCCCTTATCATACTAGAACTCCAGGTCAGTATTTTGACTGTTCAAGGAACCCCCATCACCCTGGTAGTCCTGACACTGAAGAAGTCTGGTCAGCATGGACCCCCATGTCCACTAAAGGAACATGGCTGCACTTTCCCACAGACCTCGAAGTCTCAGCTAGACATCATGTCCCCCAAGTCTTCCCAGCCAAGGAGTCTGGCACCAGAGCTATGCATTCTGCAGGGCAGGGAAAGGACAACAGATCTATGGGCTTCTCCAGTCCATAGAAAGCAGCAAAGAGAACTAGTAGAAGCCGTGTCTAAAGTAAGAGAAATGAGGAATATTACCAACCCTGTGTTATTGAGCTATGCTGGACACTCAGCACACCTGGGGGCCATGACCTAGAGAACACAGAGGTGGCCCCACACCAACTTCCAGCCTTCCAGTGGCCATAGGAGACTCCTCATATCCTCACATAGTGCCAACGCTATCCTGTGGAAAAGGAAGTGCCTGCTTCCGCTTGAGCTCAGAAGTGACAGGAATATCAGGAGTCACAGTGACTAGAAACAGCTGACAGGATTACCAGAAAGTCGGCTCTCCTGGACCCAGTGTCCCCTTAGATTTTAAGCGGAGTCCTCCTGGTTTGAAAAAAAAAATGTCTGAGACCCACTTCCTGGTCTAAAAGGAAGGTCTCTCTGATACATGTGACCAAGAAGGCTATTGGCCCAATAACCGGCCAGCAGCACCATATGAACAAGTTAGCCAAAGCAGGGAAACTATGGACAAAGGGATAAGTATGAGAGCAGCTTGGCCTACATGAGATCCTATCAAAAAATTAAAAAATGAAAAAGCCAAGTCCTGCTATCCCAACACTGGGGAGTTAAGGGGCAGAAAGTACAAAAATCCAAGGCTATACGCAAGACTGTAAGAAAGGCTACAGTCCAAAGCAAGTTTGAGGACAGGCACCCAGTCCTCAAGGGAAGAAGGGGTGGGGCTATGGCGTCCCTTGGTGAAAACCGTTGATTCTCACCCTGTCACTGTATAGCTCATCGGCCTTAATGTTTTCAGAATTGAGTCCATATGCTCTTCAAAGCTGTAGGCATCCTGTTGTTAAAACATTCTCCGTTCCGAGCTTGGGGCCCTGGTGTCTCTGCCTAATGCCCTCCTACCCCCTCCCAGCCCAGAGTCCTGTCCTCACCCTTCCTGGCTGAGTCTTTGCTTCTGCTCGGCCTTTAAATCCATCCTTAAGTCCCAGAGCCGTGGGGCAATTTCAGAAAGAGCCAACCTCAGGCCTCTGCAGAAGGACAATGGGTGGATTCTTTTATTTTTTTACAAGCTCCCTGGAGCCCTGGGACCGCTCCAGGACAGCCTTGCTGGCAGTAAACCAAACTTTCCTGGGACTGATCACATTCCCCCAGACACCATTACCATTTCCTTGTTAGGCTAGCTGGTGGCAACAGCTCCAGCACACCAAGCCTGGGCAAAGTTCCCACAGCAGATGCAAACACCCCAGGCCCTCTGACTGCCTCACCACCATGCACCTACCCAGCAGAGGACCATTTCATGGTCATTCAAAGACGGTGTCACCCGTCACACTGTCCCCACCCCAGCACAGGCTGACCTAGGCTTCCTGAGCAGGTGTTCGGAGCAGCACTGTTCATGATGAGAAGCTGGCATGAATCTCCTCAGGAACTTAACAATTTCCAAGTGATATTTACATCTCTAATGACATCAGTTTATCCATCTGGATATAAAGCTATCAGTCAATGCCAGCATGCAATCCCGTCCTCTCCTTCGCTAATTATAGCCCTGCCCCAGGCAGCCAGCCACCCCAGCCCCAGTGCAGGAAGCAAACAGATCATTTGTCAAATGGGACAGCTTCAACTAAACAGGGATAAGGGTAGGGGCACAGGCCATGCCCACTTGGGGACGGAGGGGAAAGAAGGACAAGCTGTTGGCAGTCTGTGGGCCAGGCCTCAGACAGACTGTAGGCTGCCTCTTTGCCCTTCTGTAGAGGAGTCCTGTCGTCCATCACAAACTGGGTCCTTTCAGAACCAGCCTGAAGCTCGGCTTTCTCATGGGCAGAGACAGGCCCAGCTGCACGCAGCTGCTGGGAAACAGGCCATCCTGTATGGTGCCCTGGCACCTGTGTGTCCTCAGGATGGTTGATGCCTGACAGGCACCCCTAGATGGAACAGCTTTTCACTTAAAGGAGTCTTTGAGGTCCATTTCCAACCCACAGCAGGCTCCTGCTGTGCTCCCGGTGCTCCCTTAGGCTCCACATGGGCATAAGAAACCAAAATCAGATAAGGAGAAAGACTAGCAGAGGAAAGGGAGAGGGAAAATGTCTGCCCTGTGGATGGATTCAGGGAGTCTTTGTACCCGGGCTTCAGGGGAAAGTCATGTCTTTCTTATTCTCCAACCAAGTGTCCCTCAGAGCGAACACAAGACTGCAAGCTGGGATGGCAGGTGGTCTTTTATATGCCCGCACACACCTGCTGTACCTGGCAGCAGATCCTGATGTAAGCAATTGCTAGGTGTCTGAGGGCAGGCCAGCAGAATGGCCTGCATGCTAACAGCGGAGCCTTGACAAGTTAGAAGTCTTCAGCTCACTGGGGGCACGCCCTTGAATGGAACAAACGACCTCTAGCCTCTTCTTCCTCTTTGCCACTTCCCTGGCCACAAGGTACATGGTTTTTCTCAATGTGTGCTCTCTCCATGAGGGACACCTCATCACAGGCCCCAAATCAACTGGGCCAATAGATCACGGCCTGAAACTCTCGAAACAGTGAGCCCAAAAGAATCTTTCATCTTCACAAGTTGATTAGCTCAGGACACTTGTTAGAGTGTCACAGTGCTGATGCTGCCTCCAGCTGGAATATACGCTCCACTTTTTCAAATGGAGGCGGCTGACAGCGTTAGTGACTGTCACGGATGGAATGCAATATGTC